TCAACCACCCCTGTCCCCACCTTGTGTCTTTCCCCTGGCCCTCTGGGTCATCCAGGGTCTCTGTCGCTGACACCAGAGCTTAGCTGGAGGTGGCAGCTGCCTGCTCTCAGAGCCTGGTGGGTGCAGGTGGGGGCCGAGGGGAGGTGAGCAGACGTCTCTAGTGACTGACCGACTGTCGGGTCCTGCCTGGCCCAGCCTCTCCCCATTTGCATCTAGCACACAGAGGGCTCACTCACACATGTGCACAGAATCACAGCTTTGTGCGGTACGAGTGGGCCAGACGCTGGCGGTGGGCCGAGCAGATGACATTTAGCCGGCCTACGTAAGGTCTGGTGTGTGTCCGAAGACTCCATTGTGCAAGTCCACATGGCAGGGGGAGGGGCAGACCACAGTGCATGGGAAAAAGGGCTCCCTGCGTGCGGCAGGGAATAGCGTCGCCACTGAACCCACACTTGCCTCCCATGAGAGGCTGCTCGCCTCAGGAATGGGACAGCACTGTCTCCGGAGGCTTGGTGGCCTGTGGTCAGTTCAGGCACCGGCACCCTGGGACGGACAGTGACCAATCACAGTGTATTGCAATAAAGAGCAGGGCAGGCTGCAGACAAGTCACAGCTCCTCGAGGGCATGGATTACAGCTCAGGGGGATCCTGTGTGCAAGTGACTGCAGAGGGCCCCCGGCAGAAGACGCCAACGACAGAGCTTTAGGGACTGGCTTTGAGAAGCTATGGAGGTTTTTTTTTTTTTTTAAGATGTCTTTATTTTATTGGAAAGGCAGATATACAGAGATGAGAAACAGAGAAGATCTTCCGTCTGATAATTTATTCCCCAAGTGACCCCAATGGCCGGAATTGAGCAGATCTGAAGCCAGGAGGCAGGAGCTTCTTCTAGGTCTCCCACATGGGTGCAGGATCCTAAGGCTTTGGGCCATCCTCAACTGCTTTCCCAGGTCACAAGCAGGGAATTGATGGGAAGTGGGGCTGCCAGGATTAGAACCGGTGCCCATATGGGATCCCAGCATGTTCAAGGCGAGGAGTTTAGCCACGCGGTCATCGTGCTGGGCCCAGTTATGGAGGTATTTTAAGGCCCTTAGGAGCAGCTAACCCAACCCAATGGGAGATCACCCTGCCAACAGAGGGATTTTTATTCTTTTTTCTAAAGAATGATTTACTCAATGTCTAATCCTTGTCTTGCCAGTGCCAGGATTCCAATGGGCATCTGTTTATGTCCCAGCTGCTCCACTTCCCATCCAGCTCCCTGCTTATGGCCCGGGGAAGCAATCAAGGATAGTCCAAAGCCTTGGGACCCTGCACCTGTGTGGGAGACCCGGAAAAAGCTCTTGGCTCCTGGCCTTGGATCAGCTTAGCTCTGGCCACTGCAGCCATCTGTGGAGTGAACCAGCAGATGGAAGATCTTTCTCTCTAAATCTCCTTCTTCCGATAAATTTGATCTGCCTTTCCAATAAAAATAAATAAATCTCTTTAAAAAATAGAAGAAGATCTCTGTACCTTAAAAAAAAATCTTAACGCACCAGAACAGGCAGCTGGGTGCCTGGGTGCCACCTGCCGCTGCGAGCTGAATGTCGCCAGGAGGAAGCCCCACCCTCGATCAGATTGTCCCTGCCTCTCCCAGGGCAAACCACCGGGTCTGCAAGGCCCTCGTTCTCATGCTTTGTGCATTGGCCAGCAACATCCACTGCTGTGTCCTTGTGCGTGTGTCAGGCAGGGCTGGGCCAGGACTGGTGTCGGTTCTCACCCTGCTGGAGGACCTCACCGTTGGAACTCCTGGAGAGCCCCGCTCCCCATAGCCTGGGCTGAAGGAGCAGAGAGCAGCCGAGCCGCCCGTGGAAATGCTGAATCTGAAGAGAACCTGGTGTCTGGATCCTGCTCCAGGTACAGAGCCCAAGCCAGAAAAAAACTGTCCTCGTGTCCCCCTGACTGTGACCTGCCCCATGGCTCTGCTGGGCATGCGATCAGACGGCCTCTCTGGTCACCAGGCCCCCTGAAGCATGAGGTGACTTGGGGCTGCTAGGAGCCCAGCTGGGGCTGGGCTGTTAAAGGGACTAAAGTGGCCCTTGGCACTTCTTTCTTCTCACGGCAGGTGCTAGGTGTCTGTCGCCCTTGCCAGATATCACAGACGCCACATGAGGCAGCTGCTCAAATGCTCCACCCAGAGACCAGGAGACAGGTCTCTGGGGGAGTCGGAGCTTAGCCCAGGTGCAGGGGGCTCTGACAGACGAACTGTGGCACGGAGGTTAGGGGAGGCTGTGCTTTGTGGGCAGGAACTGAAGGCTGGGTTGTGAGCACCACAGGCCAATGGTGCTGCATGACCAAACCCAGGGGGTGGGCAGTGAAGGTGGACAGAGGAAGAACCAGCGGCCCAGGGGCCAGGACAGGGCAGGAGGAGGCCAGCACAGGAGCCTGGGCGCAGGGGAGCCGCTTCCAGGCAGAAAGCCAACCATTTCTGCTGTCAGGCAGCCTGCTGGGTAGGGGCTCTGCGGGGGACAGGCTGCCTAGGGAGGGTGGCCACGGGCTCTCTGGGCAGAGAAATCCCCAGGGACCAGTGTGGGATGGAGGATAGATGGGCGGGTGCAGGCACTGCAGGCCGTGTCTGGGAACCCTGTCAGGGTGATGGGGGACCCCCCCTCAGCTCCTGCTCCCACAGGGGCCTTCAAGAGCCAGCTCAGTGTCCCAGGCCCTCTGGGCGCCTCAAAGCTGCCATTGTGGCCCCCTGACCAGCCTCACTGCCGTCTGGGGTCTAAAATAGAACAGGAGCACAGCTGATCTCGTGAGAAGCTCCTGGCCAAGGGCCTGGGGTGGGGGAAGGGCATGAGTCACTGCTGGGATCCCGGAGTCTCAGCCCAGCTCAGCTGCCCTGACTCACCCGCCTGCGTGTGCCCCTGGGAATCCAGAACCCACGGGGAGAGTTCTGTTCCACCTCCTGCCTCAGTGTCTGGCCTGGGAGGTCCACTGAGCCCCAGCCCAGTGGGGGACACCCCAGTGCAACCCGCGGACATCCCAGGGCAGCTGTGGGCCCCTACCCACCACCCCACACTCTGGGGGTACACCATGCACGGGCCTCTGACATGGACCACACTTTGCATGGATCTATTTCTTTTCTTTTTATTTATTTGTTTATTTTCTTTTAAATAGTTATTTGGTCATTCAGTAGTATGTTATTTAACTTCATGGCATTGTACATTTTAAAACTTTATTCCTGCTGTTGATTTTGTTTTATGAATTTTCAATAAGCGGATGTATAGTAATTGTATAATGGAGACTATCATATCCAGATGTGAAGATACAATGCAGTGTGCATCTCTACTTCTAAATCCAAGGTGGACTCCCAGTGAAACTGTTAAACATATCTAGACAATGGGATGCTGGACTCTCTGCCATTGTCCATACCTGCAATGTCAGGGTACACTTAAGTAGCAAAATGATGAAGGGCCCGGCACAGTGGCCTAGCGGCTAAAGTTCAACAGCAAAATGATGGACTTATGACAGCTTATGAAGGATTATAATTGCAATAATATAGGGGAAGTCAGTTGGGGAGAGGGGATTTAGGGAGAGGGTATGAGAAATCTCAGAGTCTATGGAATTGTATCATATAATAAAAAAGGGAAACATTTCTTTGTTTATTTCTTACATTTTTAATTTTTAAAAAGACTTGTTGAAATGTAAGATTTACAGAGAGAAGGAGAGACAAAAATCTTTCATCCGCCGATTCACTCTCCAAATAGCGGCAACAGATGAAGCTGAGCCAATCCGAAGCCAGGAGCCAGGGGCTTCTTCTGGGTCTCCCACACGGGTGCAGGGTCCCAAGGCTTTGGGCCGTCCTTGACTGCTTTCCCAGGCCACAGGCAGGGAGCTGGATGGGAAGTGGAGCAGCCAGGACACAAACTAGCACCTATATAGAATGCTGGTGCATGCAAGGTGAGGATTTAGCCACTGAGCCATTGCATCAGGCCCATATTCATTTGTTTTTATTTGAAAGGCAATTTTACAGAGAAGCACAGACAGAAGGCCTTCCATCTGCTGCTTCATTCCCCAAATAGTTGTAACGTTCAGAGCAGAGCTGATCCAAAGCCAGGAGCTTCTTCTGGATCTCCCTGTGGGCGTGGGGGTCCACGGGCTTGAGGCATTCTCTCCGGTTATCAGGCTACAAGCAGGGAGATGGATTGGAAGTGAAGCCGCTGGGACTCACTTAGCATCGGCACACCAGGCAGAAGATTAGAGTGCTGCGCTAACCCCACGGCCCCAATGGATCTCTTTCTGCACTTGTATTTCAAGTTACTCGAAAGGCACAAAGGCAGAGACAGACGCTCGAATTGGGCCAGGTGGCAGTCAAAAGCCTGAACTTCAGTCCACGTGGGTGACAGCGACCCAAGCTCCTGTGCCTCCTCAAGCACCCGCGGCTTTCTCGCGCTTTGCAGCGGGAAGTTTGGCTCAATAGAGCGGGACCGCGGGGACCCCGATGAGCCCCTGCACCCAGCTCTCCTCGCCGCCTGGGCTGTCCCCTCCCCTGGGCACCCGTAGGACCCAGCGCCGGCATCCATCACGGGGACAGACGCTCTCGACTCCCATGTGCCAGACTCTGTGTTCGGTCCAGCCCTGGTGGGCTGGGCGGGTGCTCCCGGTTAACTGTCGGGGTTGTCACCCTGCGCCTAAGACGCGCCTGCGCGCAGACGGAGCCCGAGGCGCGCCGGCAGGTGTGCGGGGCCGGCGCGCCCTCTAGTGTCCCCCGAGCGTCATCTTGGCGTGCAGCACGACCCGAGCTGCCCAGGGTCCGGCTAGGGCAGCGGCCGTGATCCCGGGGGGTGGGCAGCGTGCGGCCCACCCGGCCCCGGCCCAGAGCTGCCTCCCCCGTCCCCCCTGGTGGCTTTCCCAAAGACCCCCACAGCGGCTGCGCGCCGTCCCGCCTTCATTACCATGGAGACGCATGTACACAGTTCCTTCCCCTTCTGCCTGTCCTGAGGCCCCGCGGGTCGGCGGCCGTTGCCCATGACCAGCAGGGGCCCCGGGAGGCTGGCTGTGGGGAGAGTCAAGTTCTTCAGCCAGCACAGGGGCGAGGTGAGGCTCAGTGGGCTCCATCTGGGGGCCTGGGGACTCAGGGTGTGTTCTGGGGGACCCCAGTTCTGAGGCTTGAGGCTGCAGTGGACTGTGCCCGCTGGGGACACTGCAGGGCAGACCCTGGGCTGCAGTTCCAGAATGGGCTTTGGGTTCTAAGCTCTGGTTCTAACAAGGACCCCTGGCTCTGGTGTGGCTGAATGCAATCCCAGCTCGGGCTGGGTCGGAGTAAGCCAAGGGCTTGGGGAAGATTCTCAGCTGCAGTTTAGGGCCTGCTCAGAGCTGGAGGCTGGGAGCTTAGTTGGCCAGGTGATGCCTGAACAAAACCTACTTTTGTGTTCCACTTGCAGGTCAACTTCTCTGCCTTTTCCCCCAGCGGCCAGATCCTGCTCACAGCCTCGGACGATGGCTGCGTGTATGGTTGGGAGACCCACAGCAGCAGGCTGCTGTGGAGGCTGGAGGGCCACACAGGTGGGGGGCTGTGTAGACCAGCTGGGGCCCGAGGGTCTTATCTAGTATTAGAGCAGAGTCCACTAGGCACCATGCAGTCAGAGCAGCTGGACCAGGAGCTGGTGCCCTCACCATGTCAGGCTGCCCAGGAACCCACTTCTGTGTGATGGCGGAGGTCATTCCTGCCATGCTCAGCATGAGGTCAGAGTTCTGAGCTGTCCACGAGCACAACTGTGAAGCTTCCAGAACTCTGCACATATCAGCCTTCCCTTACCGCCCTCCCTGCAGCCACAGTTGGGGGGCCATCTTGGCCTCAGTCAAGCACAGTCGTTTTTTGTGGCTGGCTAGAGGTGCAGCATGTTGGGGCCCACCACCTTGGTTTTGTCAGTCCCAGGAGACAGGGCTGTGCTGTGGGGTGGGAGGAGCCAGGCCAGAGGTCTCTGGGCGCCCTGCGCTCCTGCCCAGGTCCCGTCAAGTGCTGCCGTTTCTCCCCGGACGGCCGCCTCTGTGCCAGCACGTCCTGCGACAGCACCATCCGCCTCTGGGATGTGGAGAGAGCCAAGTGTCTGCGCGTGCTGAAGGGTGAGTGGGCTGTGCGCCCTTCCTGACCCTGCTGGGTCCCTGAGCGTGTCCTAAGCCCTGGCAACGTGCCCCCAGGCCACCAGCGCAGTGTGGAGACCGTGAGCTTCAGCCCAGACTCCAGGCAGCTGGCATCGGGTGGCTGGGACAAGCAGGTGATGCTGTGGGAGGCGCAGGTAGGTGGCAGCCAGGGCTTGGGCCCATACCAGGATGTAACCCTCTCCCCAGGAATACAGCAGGTTGGCTTTGCTCAGGCTGCCTGTGCAAGGAAGGGCTGACTCTGAGCCTGAGGCCTGGCACCTGTGATGCCAGACAGCCCTTGGCTCTTCCCACAGTCGGACCAGATGCTGCAGCTCCTGGCCGGGCACCGGGACTCAGTGCAGAGCAGCGACTTCTCCCCCAGGGGCGACTGTCTGGTAAGCCTGGCTGACCCCTTTCCCACCTGGAGTCAAGCAACAGGGGAGGGCATGGACTCCATGCCGTGTCCTTACACTGCTGCCACAGGCCACTGGCTCCTGGGACTCCACTGTGCGCATCTGGGACCTGCGTGCAGGGACCCCGGTGGTCTTCCAGCAGGAACTCGAGGGCCACCGGGGCAACATCAGCTGCCTTTGCTACTCTGCGTCGGGCCTCCTGGTGAGCAGGGCTGCAGGGCTGCCAGGCTCAGGACCAGGGAGCACACAGGTCCTGAGGCTGAGCGGTCTGTCCTGCAGGCCTCCGGTTCCTGGGACAAGACCATTCATATCTGGAAGCCGACAACCAGCAGCCTGCTTGTACAGCTCAAGGGCCACAGCACCTGGGTCAGGAGTATCGCCTTCTCCCCTCAGGAGCTCTGGCTGGCCAGCGCTGGCTACTCCCATGTGGTAACCTCACAGTCCCAGCACTGACCCCCTGCACCTGCCCAGACCCGAGAAGCTAGGGGTTGCCTCATGTACGGGCTAGCAGCAAACTCTGGGGTGACATTCCCACAACAGACTGGGTGCCATGCTGGCCTGGCCTGCTCCTCCCACTTCCATTCTTCCCAGGTCAAGGTCTGGGACTGCAGCACAGGGCAGTGCCTGCAGACTGTGAAGGTAGGGCGAGGGCTACAGCCCCGGGGATGGGAGAGGCCGGGCAGCAGGCACCCACAGCCCAGAACCAGCGCTGTGCTTTGGCAGGGAGTCCTGGATGTGGCCCACACCTGTGCCTTCACCTCTGATGGGAAACTGCTGGTGTCTGGGGCTGCAGACCACACAGGACGCAAGGGCCGCGGCTCCTCTGGGCGCTCGCAGGTCTGTGGGATGTTCCAGCGCTGCACGTGGCCCGACCTCACCCCGACCCCAGCAAAGGGCACACAGATAGGGTAGCTGTGTCTCTCAAGCCCAACAGGATCCCTGGCCCACCACCACCCCACCTCTCCAGCCCAGGCAGGAAGACAGGAAGCTGTGTCCAAAAGTTTTGTGTTTTGTGTGTTTATTGCATTGCCACCGCTGGCCGGGCTCAGGCCTTGACCGCATACTTGCGCAGCGGGTACAGCCGCTCTTTCCGCTGCTGCTTCTTGGTCTTGAGGTTCTCCTCGTGCTTGTTGAGACGGCGGCGCATGGCGCGTGTCTTCTTGGGCCGCAGGTCCAGGGGCTTGTACTTCTTGCCCTAGGAGACAGAGTGGGGTGAGCGCAGGACCAGGACTCCTCTGGAAGCCGCGGAAGACAGGCATGTGATGATAGTGGGGGCTGGACTCAACTGTCACCCCGAGGGGCCGCCCCCTTGCTCATATTCCTGCAAGGCTGTGGTGGGAGGCACCCCACTCCTGACTCAGTGTAGGATCCCCGGATACAGCCATCTGCAGGGCTGGGCAGCCATGCCATCCCAGAGGCTCCCCTTCCTGCGAGAGCCACTGTCCTGTCCCTCCTACCCCATCCTGGCCCTCACGCCAGATGGGTGGTCACCACACTGGCGGACCGGGATCTTTGCGCCCCAAACCCCTGCCAAGCCTTGGAGTGCATCTGGGTGGTAGGTCAGTGTCCCCACCGTCCTCCGTCCTGTGCCTACCACCCCCCTGCAGCGCCTAGCCCCACTGTAAGCACACGGGGCTCCACATCCACACGTGTGGGGGGAGGGCCAGCCAGTCCCGACCGCCAACACCTGGTGCTGAGCCAGGTGGGGAAGAAGGGCCCCTTCCCAGCCAGGATGGCTCTGGGTGGCCGTCAGGTGACTAGGGCCAGTCCCAAGTGATCTGGGTGGACCCGGCTCTGGCAGCCCAAGGCCGGAAGAGCCGGCCTGAGGCTCCAGCCAAGGAACCCGCTGGGGACAGCAGCGTCTACCCGCAGCCCATCACACTGACGTCAGGTACAAGAAAACGGGCAGCAGCACCCAGGCCTGAGGGGCGGGGGCACTCAGTGCCACCCCCTAACACTCAGATCCAAGGCTCAGCTCCACAGGGACCTAGGAGGCTCTGGGAAACCTCATCTCTCTCAACCCCGTGGTCCTCTGATGGACCCCAACTTCAGCTCTGTTGCCTGCAGCGCTCATGGAGGGCACCCCGAGAACCAGCCCCGGCCCCCCGCTGGGACATGGAGAGCAGAAGGCCGCCTGCAGGCTCACCTTATAGAACTTCCTCAGGTTTTCCTTCTGGGTCTGGTTGATGACCGTGAGCACCCGGGCGATGGACTTGCGGACAACGCGGCTGGAGGGGAGAGGGCAGTGAGCGAGGTGGGCTCACGTCGGGCCAGCCGCTGGCCACCCCAGGGGGACGGGCAGGCCACAGGCCACGAGGGGAGGCGGCCCAGGCGGGGTGCACCTGTTAGGAGGCCGGCCTGGCCACGCCGCTGCAGCTCGGGGGCGAAGCCCAGCGAACTCGAGGCCTGGGAGAAAACCCCGAGCTAGGCAAGCGGACCCCCATGTGGCTGCAGACTGGCCCCCAGCACGCGGGCAGGGACACGGGGTGGGGGGCGGGCTCCCTGCAAGCTCGGATCCCCCACCGCGTCCCCCCACATCTCACATCTTGGACAGCTTGGACGCCGCGCCGCCGGTGACCTTGGCGACGCGCAGCTGCGACAGCTCCACTTTGAGGTCGTCCAGTTGCTTCAGCAGCTCCTCCTTCTTCTTGCCGCGGAGATCCCGAGCCTTGATCTTGGCCTGCGGGCGACACAAGGGTCGGGTTGGCACGGCTCCCGGCCTCGCCGCCAGGCCAGGGCCTCCGCACCGTCCCGAGAGGACCCGGCCGGGGCTCGAAGGACCGACTGTCCCAGACCCACGCCGCGGCCGCGCGCCTCCGAGTCGGACGGCGCAGAGAGAAAGGCGGGCTGCGGGGCTCCAAGGCCTCGCTGCCCCGCTGCTCTCGGCCCGGCTGCAAGATGAGCCCCCGAGGCTCACCCTGGGTCCCCTCACTGAAGCCCCCAGCCCTCACGGAGCTCGGATGAAGCCCGATTCCCTCGCGCTCACCATGACTGTCTCCGCCGCCGCCGCCGCTCCGAGGGAAAGAGGAAGAGAGAAGGGCCGATCTCGGCAACTACTTCCGGGTGGCGGCGGACGCGGCCAATGGCGGCGCGATTCAGGAATTTCGGCTCCGCCCTTTCCGCTCTGACGGAGAAGCGGCGACTAGGGTCGGCTGTGCTGCGACTCCTGAGAGTCGGGGACATGGCTGTTGGTCCCCGCTTCTCGGTCCCCTCAGAGCCGGAGCTCCCTCGCAGCCGGAGGTCTCGGCCCCCTCACAGCCCGGGCCCCGTCAGGGTCGGGGTGCCGGGCCCCCTCTGCCGGAGCTCACACAGCCTGAGCGGCGCTACTTGGGGAAAGGAAGAGATGGCTCTGGAATGGAAGTGCAGCAGCGTGGATTTCGCCGCCCTGTATCCCCTGCTGTTAGAGTGCATGGTTTGCATCTCTGTGAAGGGCTGCTGACTCTTAGACTCTACATGGGATCCAGAGCAGGTGCTGCTGGCTCTGCCCTCCACCCTGGCACTGCTGGCACCTGGGCCAGGGCTGTCCCCTCTGAGTACGCCTCTTGCTTGCTGACCGGAGCTCTGCACCCACGCCGCTCTGTCTGCTGCAGTGGCACCTGGCTGTAGAGAGGCCCGGCCTGTGCTCGGCTCCCACCCTTTGCACAATTCTGGCCTTGTTCAGTGTCTCTGGATCACTGCCAAGGGCACGTGCAGCTTCATCGGCCTCCTCGGCGCCTGGCCACCCTGACTGGAAGGGCCAGCACGGTGGCTCAGCAGGTTAATCCTACTCGACTCCCGGCAGCCCGCTTCCCCTCCCATCCAGCTCCCTGCTTGTGGCCTGGGAATGCAGTCGAGGATGGCCCAAAGCCTTGGGACACTGCACCTATGTGGGAGACCTGGAAGAAGCCCTTGGCCCCTGGCTTCAGATTGGCTCAGTTCCGGCCATTGTGGTCACTAGGGGAGGGAACCAGTAGATGGAGGATCTTCCTCTCCATCTCTGTAAATCTTCCTTTCCAATAAATAAATCTGAAAAGTCCATGACCACAAAGCAAAGCGTTTCATGGCATTTATTCGGATGCAATTTTTTTCTTGTCTGTAGGACAGGCATTTCCAGCCCAGAGGGACACATTTCCACTGTCAGGAGACGCTTACTTACCTTTTTTCAGGACCCCAAGGTTTCTACCCACATGTATTTCTCAGTGTGGGTGTCTGTGTTTTTAGCACCTAAATTAGGTTTACTCCTAGTCTAGATAAGCTATGTGTGTGTGTGTGTATACACATATACATATAAAAGCAGAGTGTGGAGGATAGAGAGGGTTGGGAAAAATGAGTGTGTTTGCATTTCCTGGCTCAGTCCCAGGTGGCAGCCATACGGGGACCGGGTTGAGGCAGAAGCACCTGTCAGAAACTCCAGCTAGGGCTCTAATGTGGGGGACTTGAGCTGCCACCTGTGGCCTTCAGGGTGCGTGTTAGCAGGACCTGGGAGCAGAGCCTGGACAAAACACCAGGTCTTGGCAATACTTTTCATGTGTAGACACAGTTCCAAAGTTATGAAAACAAAGCATATTTGGGGCCCAGCGCGTATTCTAGTGGTTAAAGTCTGCCTTGAATATGCTGTGATCCCATATGGATGTAAGTTCCAATCCCGGAGGCCCCACTTCCCACCCAGCTCCCTGCTTGTGGCCTGGGAAAGCAGTCAAGGACGGCCCAAAGTCTTGGGACCCTGCACCCGCGTGGGAGACCCAGAAGAGGGTCCTGGCTCCTGGCTTTGGATCGATTCAGCTCCAGCCGTTGTGGCCACCTGGGGAGTGAACCATTGGACGGAAGATCTTCCTCTGTCTCTCCTCTCTGTATTATCTGACTTTCCAAAAAGAAAAAAGAAGAAGAAAGAAAACAGCGTATTTGAAACACCAAGTTTTATTAAGTTTTAGCCCAAGACGAAGAAGCTCTTAGGCAGCAGCCCTGGCATCCCAGGGGCCCCAGGCACCGTCCCTCGGCGTGGGTAGTGGGCGCCTCGGGCCCGAGGTGCCGGGCACAAAACGGGATAGTGAAGCACGGAGCAGGATGCTCACGGGGTTGCAGCATCCGTAACCCGAGAACCGCCCGAAGTCGGAGGGTCGTCGGGAGGAGTCCACCACTCCCAACCCACTAGGCTCCGCCCTGCAGGTGCACTTCCGGTTCCGGCGCGGGCCGGAAGCGGGCGGAGGAGGCGGAGGCGGTGCCGGCGGCCGCTTCCCGCCCCCGAGCCTGAGCGGAGCCGAGCGGAGCCGGAGCGGAGCAGACCGAGGTCGGGCCGGGAGCGGAGCCCGCCGAGCGGCGCCCAGCTCCCGCCATGGCCCGGAACACTCTGTCTTCACGCTTCCGCAGGGTGGATATCGACGAGTTTGACGAGAACAAATTCGTGGACGAGCAAGAGGAGGCGGCGGCAGCGGCGGGAGAGCCAGGCCCGGACCCGAACGAGGTGGACGGGCTCCTGCGGCAATATCCTTCGCCGGTGCTGCGGCCTGGGCTCCCCCTCGGGCTCCCCGTCCCCGGGCCCGGGGCCGCCTCAGGCTGGCCTCCAACGGCCTCCCCAGCCGGTCGCTCCCGGCCCCGGGCTCCTCGGTTCTCCCCACGCGGCCCTGGATCGTGGTGGACGGGCTCGGGGCGGCCCCGGGTGGCCCCCGCTCCCCTTGCCCCCAGACTGGCCCTTCTCCGGGCACCCCTGGTTCGTGCCTCCTGCTCTTGGAGCAAGTCGGGCCGTCCTGGGGCTTGGGTGGCTGGAGCGGCTGGGGTGTCCCACCGCTGAGGAATGGAGCAGTGAGGGCAGTCGGGGCCCGGACCCAGCCTGCTGGCCTTCTGGGGCCCCTGGGCAGCCCTCCGTGGGAAACGGAAAGACCCAGCATGCGGCGAGGGCTGAGTTGGTACGTCCACCTGGGGCCGTGGACCTTGAG